GATATACAATGGAATGAATGTAAAACTAAAGTTCTCTCACGTAAACTACCATATAATTCATAATAAAACATTAAAAATAAACCAACAAAACAGAAGGCTGCAACAGCAGCAGAACCCAAAGCTAGAGCACAAGAAGGATGGTGGACTCCCCAGCCCACAGAGTGAGTAAACTGAGTGATTTTAGACAGGAAGCTTGCTTGCAGAGTGGAGTACCTCCAGGCACTCATTGGGAGAGCTAGGTTTGCTAACCAAAGTTCCTGCAGACTGAGGAGGACTGGGTGGAATGGAGTGTCCTGTGGGTATTTATCAGCAGCCCCGCAACAGCTTTGTAGCATTGCCAGAAGGTCAGAGGCCAGGTCAAGGGGCCAAAGGCCAGAGAGAGCCTGTGAGAGGCCTGGTTCTGGGCGCAGCAGAGGAGAGGCTGTGCCCTGAACATTGCTGATCCTGAATTGCAGCCTGTTAACTCCCCTAGTGGAATCATGGTGTAGCACTGTAGGATAAGCACTGGACTTTTAACTGCAAGGTAAGCAGTTCAAGCACACAAGCCTGCTGCTCAGAAACCCTATACAGGGTTGTTAGGAATAGGGATCAGTTCTATGCCACTAAGCAACAATAATAACATCTTCCATAATATACCCCCTTTCTGTGAGTGTGGTGTCTTGAGTTCTGTGTGACCATTGCAAAGAAGTTTCAAACCCAGTTGAGTAGAGTGTGCCATGGGAGGGAGGCCTTGGTGCCATTTTTGCAGAACCCACCAGCCGTTCTGCAAGAAAAAAGTGAAGCAGTCATTTCTATAAAGATTGTTGATTGTTGTTAAGTGGCTTCGAGTAGGTTCCGACTCACAGCAACCCGGTATAGTGTTTCCAAGGCTTTTAAAATCTTAGCAGGAACAGAAAACCTCAGCTTTCTCCTCTGTAGTAACTGTTGGTCTTGAACTACAGACCTTGTGGTTCACAGTCCAGAGCATATCCTATGGAGCCACAATGCTCTTTCCCTGGAAACCCTATGAGGTTGTTCTCCTCTGCCCTGCAGGGTTGCTGAAGTCAGAAGCAACTCAGTGGCATTGGGTTTGGTTTGGTTTTAGCAAAACCCTCCGTAATGGACCCCTCTACAAGCCCAGTGGTGGTCTCTTTATTTTTGTTTTTCTAATGATCAGTTAGGTGTTTCTTCATTCTTTTTAAAATAACTGCCCTTGATACATTGAGTTATGACTCTCTATTTGCATTTAGGGCTCCTGTATTTTTCCATTTTGTCATGCTTCCAGAATATTCCATCATATTGATAAACATTATTTACTTGTGTTAAGTGCTGTCAAGTCGGTGTAAACCCTCAGTTAATCTGTATAGGGTTTCCAAGGAGCAGTTAGTGAGCCTGAACCATCGGCCTTGCGGTTCAAATCAACTTTGCAGTCTAGCGCATTAACCCATAGCACCACACCAGGAATTGTAGATAGCATGAAATATGCAGTATTGGGCATAAAACTTTTGTTATATTTTGGAGGTGAAACTACTGAACCATTGGACTACAAACCACAAGTCAGCAGTTCGAGCCCACCAGCTGCTCTAAAGGAAAAAGTTGAGACTTTCTGTTCCCACAAAGATTTATAGCCTCAGAAACTATTTATAGGGTCACTATGAGTCTGAACTGCCTCAATGACCCTTAACAACAACAACAACAAGGGCATGCGTCTTTTGGATGATGTGGATCCCCTTTTATTCTCTAGCATCATGTGCCACAAACTAAAGCAGCACCCATTTGTGACTTTACAGTTGTGTAGGTTAGAAGTCCAGGCACTGCATGGCTGGGACTGTGTTCAGCTTCTCACAGGAATTCCACATGAGGAATTAGGTGACAGCTGGCTGTGTTGTTCTCAGGAGAGACTTACCTCAGGAGGAACCACCTTTCTAGGATTGAGGTGACTGAGTCCTTGCTTTATTGATGGCTGTCATTTATTTAGGTATTACTGCTGACTGCTGACAAAAATGTTGGCCGTTTGAATCCATCCAGAAATGTTTTGGAGTGCTGGTATGTGCTGTAGGATAAGCACTGGACTGCAAACCACAAGGTTTGTGATTCAGACCTACCATTTGCTCCTCGGAAACCCGATACAGGGTCTCAGAAGAAAGACCTGGCGACCTCCTCCTGAAAGATCCCAGCCACTGAAAATCGTACAGAACACAGTTTTGCTGTGAAACATGTCACCGTTAATCAGAATTGATTTAATGGCAACTGATTTATTTTTCTTCCTTGCGGCTGTTCTCTGGTACTTACTATGTGGCCCCCTCCATCTTCAAAGCCAGCAATGCATAACCTCCCTTGTGCGGAATCCTTTGTACTTTGAATCTCTCTAAATTCCTCTTTCTCTGACTTCTAGACCTAGATTTAAAGGACTCATGTAATTGGGTCTCTTTCTCTTAAGGTCAACTGATTTCAGACCTTAACATCTACAGCATTCCTTCATATCTGTACCCAGATTCATATTTGATTGAACAAACTGGAAGAAGGTATGTGTACAACAAGGGCTCAGAGTCCAGGGCTTTCATAACAGATCATTCATGGCTGATGAGTGAAATCAGAACTGACCCCAATTTTTTAAAATGTGGATGTACCGGAACGAGAACCAGAATGGGAAAAGTTATGGGTCAGAGCTCTGGATTGGAAGACTCAGTAAAGGTGACGTGTGCCTTATCAGAAGCTGATGCAGTAGATTGGATTATTGCTAAGACTGTGATGTGTGACATATTCAAAGCAGTGGGCTGAGCCGCCATTTTTGAGCCTGGCACCGTTGTTCCCAACTCTGCTGGTCAAGAGATTTGGTTGCTATGCAGTGTGCATGCTGTCCTTGTTTTCTAAGAAGGAAGCTAAGTTTCTAGCAGGGCATCATTTTTCCTCTTCTGATTAAAGTTGTGGTAAACCCCATGTAGGGTTGCTGTGGGTCAGAACTGACTCAGCGGCACTTAACAACAACAACACATACTCTCATTGTATAAATTTAGGTCCATTCCTGTGTCAGTTCTTTGACCATGACTGAACTGAAAAGATCTGGTTCAAGGCTCTGCTAGAACTCTGGATTCTGCCTCTACACACCTTGTAGAAAGATTACACTACCTCTCTCTCAAGGAACTGTTTTGTCTCCTTTCCTACCATTAACGTGTAAGTTATACAGGAGAAGAGTCCTGGAAATGACATCTGATTTTACTGCCTGCCTTTCCAGATGGGCTGTTCTCTGTAGAAAACATTAGCGCCTCCTGATCACTTTTTAGCCTCCAGTGTGAGGACTCTGGCTTCTTGTTCCCAGCATTACCTGTGACATGTTTCTTGAGGATATACAAGTGTGAGAAACCCTTGAGCAAGACTAATGAGGGTGCAAGAGAGAATTTCTGTTTTCCGTTGTGACTAGCAGAAAGTACAAAATGCAAAGTGGAGTCTTTCTTGACAGTCTCTTGGAAAGAACGTAGCACATTTTCCCCTCTCAGTAATACTTTTCGTTGTTGCTGAGAATACACAGAGCAGAACATAAACCAGTTCGGTCATTTCTACGTGTGCAATTTAGTGACATTCATTTCAGTTGTTCCTCTCTCAGCATAAATCTGCTGCCCCCTAAGATTGGACTTAGACCATTTAATAACCAAACAAAGGTGCACACTGCTTGGTGGTAATACCATGAGGATACAGCGGGATTTAAACTTGTCCAAATGAGAGAATTTAGGGATGCCAGTTTATTTGACTCAATGAATCATTTGGAAACAGGACATTAAATTCTGAAACGATGGTGCTACTTAGGACTTGTGGGGGCCAGTAAACTGTGCTAGATATTTCGGATTGACTGTGAACTGGGCATCTCAGTAATAAGAATATGGTCTTGGATGAGGTAGAGTTGGCATTTGAATGTTTGGCACTTTACAACAACAACTGCCATATGGCTTGGACAGGGAATCCATGTCCTTTGGAAAGACATGGGTGGGTGTGTTTTGTATGCGTATGTGACAGGACTCATAGTGACCTCGTTTAGGGTTTTTGAGGCTGTACATCTTTATGGGAGCAGAAAGCCTCGTCTTCTCTCAGGGAGCAGCTAGTGGACACAGACTTGCAGTAAGCAGCAGTGTAACCCACTTCGTCACCAGGGCTTTTTAGATGGGAACTAGAATGGAGTGAAAGTCTCCATTCATTACTAGGGGACTAATTCATGTTAATTGCTAGCTGGGGAAGACCTGGGAGATGGGAAGAGGAAAAGTCAACAATTCTCTCACTTGGGTCTGGTCTTATTTGCAGCACTGAATCTGTGTTCTTTGTAACAGGCAACGGCCATGTCTGTGGACTGTCTTGGGCAGCATGCAGTGCTTTCTGGGTAAGTAAGTGAGTGAGCTTTCAGAGTTCCTCTGCCATGACTTCTGGGAACAAATTGTACATCAAGAGGTTTCTGGGACAATGGAAAATACTCTTATATCTAAGAGTTATTACAATCCTGGGCGTTAGCACTGATTGCCTAATGACGTTGTAGATATTATTTGTAATTTATTTTTTGTCTTTGTCCTAACAGCAATAAAAAGCCCTCCACATTTCAGTGGCTGGTAGCTTGCTCTTGGTTGTTACTTATTGCACAGGTTCTTCAGACAGAAGATGCAGTCTAGTGTGGTCTAGCAGGTCGTTAGGAGAGGGGAGGGGACCTGTATTCTAGTGTGACAGTGCCATCAATTTTGGACCTCTCTCTGGACCTTGCTGGACTTCAGTTTTCTCATGAAGAAATTGAACGATGTAATTGTGCAGTGCACTCTGACTGAACGTTTTTATTAATTTGGCCATTGTGAATTTGCCTGTACTTGCCCTTTGCTACTGTGCTGTTTGCATCAGAGCAAAAATCTAACCTACTGCCAGGCTACTTGATTCTACCTCATAGTGATCATATAGGGTATTGTAGAACTGTCCCCATAGTTTCTGAGGCTGTATATCTTTACCAAAATGGACAGCTAATCTTCCTCCGTCAGAGCGACTAGTGAGTTCTAACCACCAGTCTTTCAGTTAAAAGCCCAGCTCTTAACTCACTATGCCACCAGAGCTCCTAACATTGTACCAGAATGAAAATGTCCAGTGGTTAGGGTCTCCCCATTTCCTTTGATAGTACTGTGAATTACTCCCCCTACCTTCCAAGTTCAACTGTATTTGTATTAACTGAGTTGTTTGTGCACCCATTTACAAATCAATTGTTTTCTTTTCCATTAACTTCAGTATTTTAAGTTCATGTTTTTATTGACCTTTACAAAAGATACATGTACATGACAAACAATAGAGCAAAAGAATATAGACTGAAATGTCAGTTTCCCTCTAAGCCCTGACTTCCTCCCCAGAGACAATTATTTTCTTGTTTTGCATGAGAACATAAAGAAAAATTGGTATGTATGTCTCATTTCTGCCTCTGGCTACTCTCCTTTTCCTTTTTGATTATGATGAAGTGTACATATATTTAACAAAGCATTTGTCATTGAAATCATTTTTTTTGTGTCCACCTTGTGCAGACATTGCCACTATCCATTTCCACATTTTGTCGTCACTCTTTCCAGAAACCTGGTGCCTTTTACAGAACACCTCTCATTTACTGACCCTATCCCACCCTAACTGCTCCTTGGAAACCCTATGCAGGGTCGCTATGGGTCGGAACTGACTTGATGGCACTGAACAACGACAACAACCACCACACCCTAATAGCCACTAGTAAACAGTGGTCTCTATGGATTTTGCCTTTTGTGTCTGACTTAATTTCACTCAGCATACTGTTTTCAAGGTTTACTCATGTTATAGCTTATATTAGAACTTCATTTCTCTTTATGGCTGAGTAATGTTCTATTGTATGGCTATATACCACATTTTGCATTGTTTCCACCTTTGAGGTATTGTTACTAAGAAGACTGCAGTGAACACTGGTGTACCAGTTTCTGTTTCATAATTGCTTTTATTTCCTCTGGGCACATAATTAGGAGTGGAATTGCTGGGTCATGTGGTAGTTTTTTGTGTCCTTTTTTGATTAACGGTCACATTTTTCCTCAGGGGCTGCACCATTTTACAATCTCAATAGTAATAGACGAGGATTCTAATTTCTTCATATCCTTATTAATGACCTGTTATTTTCCAGTTTTCTGAAAGTAGTCATCCTACTGGGAGTGATGGTGTGCAGTTGCTCTGTAGGCTGAGTGCTGGACTGTGAACCACCAGCCACTCCATGGGAGAAAGATGAGACTTTCTGCTGCCTCAGAAACCCTATACAGAGTCACTATGAGTCAGAACTGACTTAATGGCACTTAACAATAGCTATTGTTAAGTACCAGTGGAGTTCTGGTGTGGCTCAGTGGGTTAATGCGCCAGACTACAAACTGTTTAAACTGAAAGGTTGGCAGTTCAGGCTCACCACCTGCTACTCAGAAACCCTATACAAGGTCGCTATGGGTTGGAACCAACTCAACGGCACATAACACAACAGTGGTAGTAGAGTTCTGATGTGGCGCTGTGGGTTAATGCGTTGGACTGCAAAGTTGGTTTGAATCGCAAGGTTAGTGGTCCAAGCTCACCGGCCACTCCCTGGAAACCCTCTATACAGGGTCGCTATGGGTCAGAACCGACTTGATGGTACTTAACAACAACAACAATAGTGGGGTGAAGAAGTATCTCAGTGTTACCTTTCCCTAACAACTAATGAGGAGTCCTGGTGTGGCGCTGTGGGTTAATGTGCTGGATTGCAAGGTCAGTTTGAACCGCAAGGTTGGCAGTTCAAACGCACCAGACACTCCTGAGAAACCGTATACAGGTTCGCTATGAGTTGGAATTGACTCTATGGTATTTAACAGCTACAAGAACCGATGAAGTCCCTGGAGAAAGGACATCATGTTTGCTGCAATGGGTGGGAAGACCCCCACTGAGTTAGATTGATACAGTGTCAGCAGCCATGGGCTCAAGCATAACAGCAATTGTGAGACTGACCGTGTGGTACTGGGCATGTGTCACTCTGTTGTTCATAAGGTCACTGTGAGTCTGAACGAACTTGATGGCACCTAACAACAAACAACAACAACAACAACAACTACACTACTAATGAAAACTGAGCATCTTTTCGTGTGCTTATTGGCCATTTGTATATCTTCCCCTGAGGCATTTATTGCTTAGACCAGGGCTGGGGGTAGGTAGGGGCTGTGCCTAGAAGAAGGTGATGCTGCAAGCCTTGTGTTGGCGATGCAGGACTGCGTGGGACAGCGGGAACTTGATCTGGGATTCTTGGAATTGCTTGACCGCAGGCCAGTGGCGTTTGTTGGCTGCAGTCTCCTCCACTTTCATGATCTAGAGAGAATGGGTGTGGACGTGGTGCTGAGCGTCCATGTCTTGGTAGCACCTGCGGTGGTCAGGTCCCGGTACACCCATTACCTGTTGTGGGTCCCACTTTGGGAGTCGTAGTGCAGCCAGATGCCGAAGTTCTTCACTTGCAGTGGGGACTTCTCAGACACCTGCCCACAGAACACGATCTCCCTGGAAGACTTCTTCATTTTCTTCAGCTGTGACACAAAGTACCAGAAGTAGGACTTGGCGATGAAGTGGTTAGGAGCGAAGATACACATTCGGTAAAGTGGTGGTGTCTTAACCTTGGGGTGGGCAGACAGCCCCTCACCACCTTGTACTCCCGAAGTATGTCCGAGGCCTTTCATGGCGATAGCTCTAAATCACCGCGTCCTGCAAAAGGCTGTAAATCTTCTGTTGTGAAATATTTATTCAGGTCCTTCCATTTTTACATTGGTTCCTCTTTTTGTTTTAAGTTTTTATAGAAATTCTCTCTGTAGTTGAGTATTGATATTGATACTCTTACATTTTTTCCCGATTTGTAGGTTTTTTTCTTTACTTTATTCATAAAGTCCTTTGATGTACAGAATTAAATATTTTTGATGAACTCCAAATTATTTATATTGGTGTTGCACATAGGTTTGGTATCATATGTAACAGTCTTTTGTTAGCATGGGCTCAGAGCTCTCCATTTCATTTTAAAAAAAATGTTGGATTAAAAATAATTGTAGTGAAGTGAATACAGTGCACTAACTTGAAGCGAACATCTCAAATGCATTTTACACACGTGATCGCCTTTCAAACTAAGATGTTGTTAGGTGCCATTGATTGGTTGTGATCATGCACAACGGAAAGAAACATTGCCAGGTGCTGTGTCAGCCTCACAGTCTTACATTTGAGCCCTTTGTATTGCCATCTCTTTGGGCAGTCTTCCTCTTTTGCACTAACTGTCTACTTCACCAAGCATGATATCCTCCAGGGAATGGTCCCTTCTAATGAACGTCCAAGTATGAGAGATACAGTCATGCCATCGGTGCATTCTGAATGTACTTCTTCCAAGACAGATTGTTCATTCTTCTGGCAGCCCAGAACTGAGACGGAAAAGTATTTTAGAACCTTCGAAAGCCTAATAAGTCTGGAAATAATCTGTATTTTACTTTGCAGAAATTTTCTTTCATTATGTCTTTGATAATTTTCTTTCTTTCATTTTCTCTTATTCTTCCCTTCAGGATTGCCTATTAATTGATACTGGATATCCTGCATGAATTGCCTTTAGATCTTTTTCTCTTTGTTTTGCATTCTGGATGTTTTTTCTAACCTTAATTTCCAATCCTTATGTCAGATTTTTAGTTTCAACTTTTTAAATTTCCAAGAGTTTTTTTTCTTTCTCTTTTTTTTAAAAAAACTTTTTATTTTGAATTGAGTAAGGGTTTATGGAGCAGATCATCCGTTTTCTTTTGTTTTTTAAATGTTGTGAATTATGTGATAGTGTACATGGGAGAACATTAGCTTTACATTCATCCTATTGTATATAGTTTCATTGCTATGGTTACAGTCCCCTCTCTGCATCAACTAACCAAAGGGTATATCCTGCAAGCCTGCCCCCTGGGTCGTCAGCACACAGCCCCTCTCCCTCTCTGGGTGTAAAGTCCCCAGCCGCTCCATCTCTCTGTGTCATCGTCTCTGCCTTCATCTCTGATGTCACTGCTTCTCTGGGTAGGGTTCCGCTCTCCGCTCTTCACCCTTGATGGTCCCAGGGACCTCTGCTCCTAGGCTGAAAAGTCCCCTCCTTTTGCTACAGAATGTCTACCTTTATGTTTCCAGCCCTCACAGTAAGTCCTGATAACAATTATTCACTATTGTGCCACATGAGTGCTATCCCCATCTCCTTTCATCAGCCCCGCCCAGACAGATTGGATACTACTCAGTAGAGATTCTACCTTCCTGCCAGCACTCTGGATCTAGGCTCCCTCTTGAAAGCTTGTAAGCCAGTCATTTCTTGCCTTTGTAGCACCTGCATTTTGGGTAGCCAATGTCCAAGTTGCCCATCCCTGTCTACTCTGTGTATGGAGGGGGTGGGATTGATCCTCGTTGTAAAGATTTGTTCCCTCTGTTGAGCTACTGCATCCATAGGTGTAGGTCATGTTCATTGAATTGTATCAGATTACTCCTTTTTTCCTTTTCTTTTTTCTTCCAGTTGAGCTCTGATCATCTAGTCATTGAAGCCAGGTCAAGTAGGTCTTATCTGCAAGTGTGGGTGTTCTTCTTATCAGCTGGACGCTTCACTCTCCACTCTAGTCCTCTGTGGCTAAGTCACTGACAATGGGCCCAAGAGTCCCCAGGTCTTACCACACTGCTGACCAACCAGGTCTCCACCCGGGTTCACAGGAGTCTATTGAATGTTGTAGGGCTTAGCTCACAGCTTCATTGCTGTTTTTCCCTCACTCCCCCTTATTGGTGACGAACATGGTCACCAATCAGAGGCATGTCTCCTTCTGTATTTCCATTGAGTCTTAGTCTTGGGAAGGGGTTTGCCCTGAGGGGACCCAATGACTTTTCTTGATGTCTCCTGGGGAGCAACTTGCTTGTTCTTGTAGTAATCAGTCCTGGACTGCTGTTACTGTTTTGTATTTTTCCTCTTGGTCTTTTTTTCAATAAGCATCTTCAGTTCTTCTAGCCTGCAGGCTGGTCTGCTTGTCTTTTCAAGTGGAAATTTCCTACCTCAAGATAATGTTTTACATTCAACAAATCGTATACTTTGTTTCATCTCAAAATCCTTAAGTGTAGCATTGCTTACCCGAGTTCTTCCCTGTGTTTCCTGTTTTCTCTCCTCTTTCTTTTCCCCATCCTTATGGATGTTGTTCTTAAGTAAGTGCTGCGTTTTTTTAATTTCAAATGGTTGACCATTCTATGGTGTGCGTACCTCACTAGTATTGCTGTTACCCCAGAATACAGATTTCCTGGCTGAAAATTGAGTGTTCAGCTCTAGATCTGAAGGGTAAGCAAGGGCTATAGTCTCCGATTCTACTAGTCTCTCTCTAATCTGTAAACCTAGTGTTTTCTTAGGATTTTCAGGTTTGTTCACTCTATCCAGGACCTTTTAATGCGATCTCAGCCTAGCACTTGGTCGTGGTAACCAGACACCATCTAGTTCTTCTTGTCTCAGGGATGGAGAGACTGATGGTCACGTGTTCTATTAGTTCATCAGACTAATTATTTCCAGATGTCTTTAATTTACTTCATTCTTCTTTCCTCTGAACAGGGAGAGACCAGTAACTGCAACTTTAGAAGACCCCTCATGAGCTTTTAACATCCTTGATTTTGTGGACTATTATGCTGACTGACCCCAGAGTCCCCCAAAACTATGGTTCTGAGCTCCCAGGTCCAGCAAGCCCATCATTCCCTCAGGATATTTGCTTATGTCTAAGAGGCTTTCATAATTTTAACCCCTGAATACTACAAGAAGGGAGCCCTGGTCGTGTAGTGCATTATGAGCTGTGCTGCTAACCACAAGGTCAGTAGTTCAAATCTTATCAGTTGCTCCATGAGAGCAAGATGAGGCTTTCTGCTCCCATAAAGATTTACAGTCTCAGAAACCCTATGCGGGTTCACTGTGGTTCCGAACCGACTCTGGCATACAACCACCACCACCATGCTCCAAGGGTTTTTTGTTTTTGTTCTTAAGTTTGTCTTCTCTTATATCTCCTTGATGATTTATAGTTTTTCCTTTTCTCTGCAGTTTTCCTGTTTCCTCCAAGTTCCTTTTGTTCTTTTGATTGTGTTGGTGTCTATTTTGCAAGTTTCCCTGATGACTGATGAGCATCATTTCTCTGCTTGTATTAAAGAGGGGTTGACATTTTGTTTACAGAGGCTGATGGTGGGAACCAGGCTCTTCTGTTTGGAACGCCCAAGTGAAATTTCCTTGAGGATTTTGTTGTTTTGGGTTTGGTAATTTGCTTTTGTTTTTATCTTGGCCTGAACATGTTTTTTTCCCATTTACTACTACGAAGAATGGTCCACTCTGTCTGAAGACAGTAGTCTGAGGCCTGCCATCTCACTGCTTGGAGTTGGGCACCCTATACTCCCCTCTGCCAGGCCGCTCGTCCTGGGTCCAGTGCTTCTCGCTGGATGAGTTGTACCAACTGTGAACAGGACCCACTTTCTACCTGGCTCTGTGTGGCAACATCAGACACTCCTGAGAGCTCGTTTTCCTTGTTTTGTGGTGTTCTGGGCTTTGTTTTCCAGTCCTACCCGTTGCTCTTGCCTTTAGCTGAAATCCTTCACTTCCCACTGCCCCAGCTCTGTGCTGGAGTCTGTTTTGCTTCCCATTCACCTCCATCAGCAGACACTTGCTTGGGCTTTAGTTTTCTTACTCGAGATCAATTACCACTGTCCGTCTGCTTTTTATTTCCTTTTTCTTTTTTCCGCCCTTTTTTTTTTTTTTAACTTTTATTTTTGTGGGACTTCAGGGGACAGTGAAGATAAACACATATGTTCATACAGTCACACTTATCCTCAAGTGCCTACTCTGCATATGCTTTGTAATCTCAAGTTCTGTATTGATCAGTATCCCAAATGTATAGCTCTTCAGCCTCTAATGTTTTTCTTACTACTGGGAAGATGCCAGCCTGCCTGCCTCAGGGTCAGGTGACTTCTCCACGGGAGGTCAGAGGTTGTGGAGCTTTTTATTATTTTGTTTTAAATGTTTTATTGTGAATTATGTGATAGTTTACATGGGAGAACATTAGCTTTACATTCATCCTATCGTGTATCATATCATTGCCATGGTTACAATCCCCTCCATGCATCATCAACCAACCAAAGGATATACCCCATAAGCCTGCCCCCTGGTCATCAGCACACAGCCCCTCTCCCTCTCTGTGTCTAAAGTCCCCAGCTGCTCCATCTCTCCACATCATTGTCTCTGCCTCCATTTCAGGCATCACTGCTTCTCTGGGTATCCCACTCTCCGCTCTTTTCCCTTGATGGTCCCAGGGGCCACCGCTCCTAGGCTGCAAAGTCAATCACTTGTGGAGCTTTTTTGAAGTTCTCTGATTTTGTGACGTACCTGTGATTTTCCTTTTCTCTCTTAGCCATCCCTCCTTTCGGTTTTTGTTACCACCTACAGTTTTCCTGGTGTGATGCTGTGGGCTAATGCGTCAGACTGCAGTCATTTGAACTGCAAGTTCAGTGGTTCAGGCTCACCAGCTGCTCCTTAGAAACTCTGTACAGGGTCACTGGGATGGAACTAACTTGACGGCACTTAACAACAATTGATATCCAGGAGCCCTGGTGTAGTGCTGTGGATAAATACGCTGGATTGCAAAGTCATTTGAACTGCAGGGTCGGTGGTTCAAGCTCACCAGCTGCTCCCTGGTTTTTGTGGGTGGGAACTGAGTTGACAGTACTTAACAACAACAAATTGCTATCCAAGAGCTTAGAACACTCTCTAACAAAGAATCAGCTGCTGCTGCCGCAGAGGTGTTGATTAATAAACTAAGGATTTTTTATTTAAAATAAGAAAAAGTATCTTTTTTTTTCTCTTTAAATAAAAAATGTGTTTACTTAGAAGCATTCAGATTGTCACCATAGTAGCTATACCTTGCTGTTGTTGGAATTGCACAGTGGTATTTGTGTGGTGCTCATTGGACTGCAGGTTGGTTTGAACCATAAGGTCAGTGGTTCAAACTCGCCAGCCGCTCCTCAGAAACCCTAAACTCGCTGGCTCCTTGGAACCCAGTCCTTGCACTTAACAACAACAATTAAGTTAACATGGACTCCCTCCTAATGTGGCACTGTAAGATAAGCAGTTCAAACCCACCAATCACTCCTTGGAACCGACTTGACGACACGTAACAATAACCATTCAATTAATAGTTATTTTGTATATGCTGCACTAACAAGAACCTGCTTTAAATTTCCACAGTAATTTATAATTCCCATAGTGTCCTGATGTGACACTGTAGGATAAGCACTGGACACCAAGGTCAGTTTGAACTGCACTATCGGTGGTTTGCACTCACCAGCCACTCCTCAGAAATCCTGTACAGGGTCGCTATGAGTCAGAACTGACTTGATGGCACTAAACAACAACAACATACTGCACCAGGCAGGGTTTGGCTGCGAAACTACTTACTACCAGGACGGGGCTATCTAAAGACACCTTCGGTTGTGTGTTAACTACACAAAAAAAAGACACTGCATAGTTTAAAAACAAGTCTTGCACAGCTTTACCTTTCAACTTTTTTTCTTTAAAAGGAGTGAGTTGTGTGGAAGGGGGCTTAAATGCTTTGTTGTTGTTGGTAAGTGCCCATCAAGTTGGTTCTGACTCATAGTGACCTGGTATAGGATTTCTAAGGAGTGGCTAATAGATTTGAACTGCGTCTCTTGTGGTTAGCAGTCCAGGGCTTCTCCAACAGCACCACACCAGGACAAGAAAAAGCAAACACTCTGCTGAAACCAACTTCATCTTCCTCATCATGTCGTCAACCTCTTCATCTGCCTCCTCATTCTCATTTATCCTTGTCTTCCCCCTCTTCCTCCTTTTCTTACTTTTACCATCCTTGACGATTCCCTTTTTGATCACATCACGTTTTCCCTTAGCCCAGTATGCAGCAATGTCTTTTTGTAGTTCTTCAGCTTAGTGGCTGCTTCGTAAGGCTGCTTGTCATTGGCGGCAGTATTCCACATCTCTCTCGGTTTCTTCGTAGTATCACCAATGGATAGGATAGGTCAGGAGGCTAGCCTTTGATTTTTGGGCGATACTCAGAACAAAACAAGAAAGAGGCTGAAGGAGGTCTCTTAGGTGCCTGGGAATCCTTGAATGTCACTGGAGGAGACTCTCACAGGGTTTATGACTCTGGCCATATTTGTGCATGTCAGAGTAGGTAAATGTCAGGTATATCTGGGTGGTGTTTTGTGTTTTTTTTGAGTGCTGCCTGCACACCACATGCAATTCCAAATGTGCTTTTCTAACCTAGTGCTAATGTCTTGTGTGTTTCTGTTGGTCCCCCAGCCGCCGATTCCTGTACATCGTTAATCTAGATGCCCCATTTGAAGGTCACCGGAAGATCTCTCGCCAGAGCAAATGGGACATTGGAGCTGTGCAGTGGAATCCTCATGACAGCTTTGCACACTGCTTTGCAGCTTCGGTGAGTTCACTGAAGGGGTACGGGAAGAACCTCTTGGGGGGTTATATGAGGCTGGCAGGATTTGTGCCCTGTGCAGAGGAGACCATAAAGTCTTCACTTCTCAGTCATAGAAGAAGTTTGGATGGTTCTGAAAGAAAGGGAGAGGCAAAATGTCAATTAAAAACTATACAGGAAAATGTTAGGTGGTAGGTACCATGCGTGTCAGACCTTATATTTTTACAGCTTGAACCCAAGGAGATGAAGGGAAGCAGTAGGTGCTTGCCTCTGTATCTGCAGTCTTGATACGGGTGAGGGAAGACCCATTTTCATCAGCGGCTGTACGAACAACCAGGGCTGAAAGCACGAGATTCTTGTTGCTGCTCTGGGAGCTACCCCAAGAGCACTGGTGAGCAGACCTGGGGCTGACGTTCATTGTTTCCCGAAAGGTCCAGAAGATTCTATACACCCTTCTACCCAAAGAATGAGTTTCCTTCTTGGTTCTGAGTCATTAGATCAGTTACTTCCCTGAATTTGTTTTCAGGGAAGTTTTCACCTACATGTTTACCTGTGAATTTTTCTCAGAAAGTAGTAGATCCATGGTTTTTAGTAGGTTTTCTAAGCTCTTTATGACCCAATAAAGAGTCTGGGCGAGATCATTCATCTCTGGTCTCCTTTGCCAAATTCTAGGTAAGTGTTTCATTCGCCCAGAACAGAGGTCTACACCCTTCGCTCCTTTTGCCATGGACAAGTGTGTAAGGGAACAAGATGTACAGTGTGTAAGGGAACCCTTCTTGTTAACCCGGGGTCCACGGCACCATCTCAGGGGGGCTGAGTTTGCTCTGAATGGCAGGCTGTGAAAGGAAGGCGTCTGAGAAAAGAGAGAAGAATAGCGTTGTCAACTTTCGGAGGAACAAACAGCTGTTCTTTGACAACCTAACGAGCCCAGCTCCCCTGAACACCACCCACTGCTCACCATGGATGCCCGTGTGACTGAAATTGGACTAAATGAGACTCTCACCATTAGGCTTCTTATGCAAAGAAAGGAAGTAGGATGCATCATGGGGAAGGGGAGTCGGTTAAGAGGATCTGCAAGGAGAGTAGCGTGTGGATCAATATCTTGGAGGGGAACCGTCCTGAGAGGATCATCACCCTGACTAGGCCCACCAATGCTGTCCTTAAGGCCTTCGCCATGATTATCAGCAAGCTGAAAGAAGATCTCAACAGCTCCATGAACAACAGTAGGGCAGCCAGCAGGCTCCCAGTCACGCTGAGGTTGGCTGTGATCAGGAAAGGCATCTGTAAGATCCAGGAGATCCACAAGAGCATGGGTGCCCAGGCCCAGGTGGCAGGGATATATTGCCCATCTCCACCGAACGTGCCATCACCATTGCGGGCGTGCCACAGTTGGTCACCGAATGTGTCGAGCAGATCTGCCTGGTCATGCTGCAGACGCTCTTGCAGTCTCTGCAGGGACAAGTCATGACCATTTTGTACCAGCCCATGCCAGCCAGCTCTCCGGTCATCTGTGCTGGCAGCCAAAACTGATGCAGCAATGCTGCAGGCTACCCCCATGCCACTCACGACATGGAGGGACACCTTCTGGACGCCTATTCCATTCAAGGACAACACAACATTTCGCACTTGATCTGGCCAAACTGAACCAGGTGGCAAGACAACAGTTTTACTTTGCCATGATGCACGAGATTTGCTGGAATTGACTCCAGTTCTCCAGAGGTGAAAGGCTATTGGGCAAGTTTGAAGGTATCTACTGAAACCACCCATGAACTCACCATCCAAATAACTTAATTGGCTGCATAATTGGGTGCCAGGGTGCCAGCATTAATGAGATCCACCAGATGTCAGGGGCCCAGATCAAAATTGCCGACCCAGTGGCAGGCTCTTCTGGTAGGCAGGTGACTTTCACTCGTTTGGCTGCCATTGTTAGTCTGGCCCAGTATCTGATCAATGCCAGGCTTTCCTCTGAGAAGGGCATGGGGTGCAGCTAGAACAGTGTAGGTTCGCTCATAACCCCTCTCTGCTCTTTTACCATAATCCAACTGTGTAATTTCTTGTCAGTGATTCCAGGTTCTACATAATTTGTAAGTGTTCAGTTTCTACACAACTTTGTAATCCTCTAGGAACTTTAAAATCACATTTTTCTGTTCAGCTGGTAATGCTGGGATCCATATTTAGTTTTATAATCTTTTCCCTGATTTTAGTTTTGTTTGGGTTTTTTGGCTCATGAATTTTATTTCTGTTTGTCGATAAGAAATGTAAGAGTGAGATACAGATGGGTAACTCATGATACTGTAGTGAATAATGCTTATCAGGACAGATTATGAGGGTTGGAAATGCAAAGGTAGAAGTTTTGTAACAAGGAAGGGAGTAATTAATTCTCCAGGATAGGAGCAGAGGCCTCTGGGACCATCAACTGAGAAGAGCCGAGAGCGGGACCCTGCCCAGAGAAACAGAGATGCCTGAGATGGAGACAGAGATGATGACGTGGAGTGATGAAGCGACTGGGGACTTTGGACCCAGAGAGGGAAAGGGACTGTGGGCCGAAAACTGGGGGGAGGAGGGGGAAGTGTAGGGGGCGGGTTTCTGGGATATACCCTTTGGGTGGTTGATGATGCATGGAGGGGATTGGAACCATGGCAGTGAGATGATATTCAATGGAATGAATGTAAAACTGAAGTTCTCCCATGTAAGCTATCATATAATTCACAATAAAACATTTAAAAAAAAAAAGAAATGTAAGAGTGGAGTGTTAATAAAATTTCAGTTTAGTTTTGTAATGTCAAGAATTTAAGAATTAAAAAATGGATAGATTGGTTAAAAAATTTTTTTTAAAGCTGCTCTTCTCAGTCACTCTGGAACAAGAGTCTGATTTTAACCACGGATGTCTGAGGTTCACCTGGCCTTTGGGGCTGTTCTGAAGAAGCAGGGGGTGACATGGTTTCCTGCGTTTCCCCTCTCAGCTGCTACCTTGTGTGTTAGAAAGAGTGTACTTCTTGTTGGCTTGTGCCTCTAGGCCCCTTAGTTCCTCTCTCCCACACAGCCCCTGATCATTCCCTCTGGGGGTTTCTGCCTGGCCTCAGATGGCATGTGGGGCTGTAACATTCTTGGTTGCTGGGGATTATACTCTGCGTTGTAGGATGAAGAGCAACATCCCTGGTCTCTACCCACTAGATGCCAGTAGCATCTCCTCTAGTGGTAACAAGCTGTCAGATGTCCTTGGGAAGCAAAATCGTCCCTACCTGGGGAACCACTGGTTTAGCCTGAGCCCTTAGTACTTGGTCTAAGTAGATGGAGATGGGAGGAAAGTGGCCATTTACAAAGGAAAGAACCTGGACTTTGGAATTAGGCAAATCTGAGGTTGAGTCCTACTTTTATCGGACATTGTTTTATCTTAAGGAAGCAACTAACTTGCTGAGACTCTGTCCCCTCATCTGTGAAATGTGGGTAAGTGACCCCTGCCTTGCAGTGTGTGTGTGAAGGTGGAGGTCAGGTTTGTTCAGGTGCCTGGTGCTCTGGCTCCCAGCACATCCTTAGGAAATGGCAGGGGTTCTCATTATAAGGTGAGGGGACCTTGAGTGGGTGACATTGATCTCAATCAGTTAATAATCTTTGTTTACCCTCTGTGTGCTTTGTAAACTCATGTAGGATACTCGTGATAAACTTTGTTTCTAAAAAATGTCTTCAGTAGTTTTACTGTTATTAGCAATGTTGATTTCATAAGTTTGAAACAATGATACCATGTTTTTGGAACGTAGATTGTGACAACATATATAAAACAAAACCTTGGCCGTATTCAGCCGTGTGTGTGTGTGTGTGTGTGTGTGTGTGTGTGTGTGTGTGTGTAGCTCCATGGGACTGATGACACTAGTCAGTTTCCGATGTTTTCACCACCGTTACCAGATACTTGGTGCCCCTTCAAGTTTGGGGTTTCTGGTTTTTTTTTTTTGATGATTTTTGTTTTATCTCCCCTTTTTCCTAGTATAGTTGTGGCTTCTTCTGGTGCCTTTCCCCCACTTCTCTTTTGGCTTGACCCATTAAGAAATGACGTGTAGGCAAATTTCAAGGGAGCTTGCATCATTTGTGCTTTAGGACACATTGGTGTTTCTTTTTTCTTTCTCGGAATCTACATTTTTATAAATGTGTTAGGTGGATTCTGGGCATTTAATAGTGAGACGGGTGAGCTGAAAACTTCTACTGTGACAACAATTAGCTGGCGAGATGCGTCTTGTTACTTTAGAGCAGGGAGGAGCTTCCTCCAGTGGTTGGTGGTGTCTCCATAGCGCATAACTAACTCCCATGCTCGGTAGTGCGTGCTTAGCGTCAGTTCATCTGTAACTGCTCCAGGAGGAGAAATTTAAAAGATTATGCTGTGTTTCCTTTTTGAAATTCAGACTTCCACATACTGAGTTTACTTAGTTCAGGCTAATCCTACTTGTACTGATGTGGATGGCTTTTTTCAAAGTTCCATCTGTAAAATGTTTGCGCTGTAAGTTGGTTCTCCCCTGGCTGCTGCTTCTCAGCCTTCAGCATGTATTCTGACCTGCATGGGATGCTACTTGCTGCCTTTGTTTCTTTCCAGAGTAACCAACGGGTCGACCTTTATAAGTGGAAAGACGGCAGTGGGGAAGTTGGCACAACCTTACAAGGCCATACTCGTGTCATCAGGTAGGCACCTGTCCGGCACAACTCCTTGGCCGTTTGTCTTGTGGTGGTCTTCTCTACCTGTTCAGTGATCTCCAGAGCTCATGCTACGCACCAAGACTTTGTCCCGACCTCCTGTGTTGTGTTGGCGCTGGGCGGCTATTACGTTGTTTGCATTCTCCTAGTGATGACTTCCACCATGCAAACCAGCTGCTGTTTCATCACCCGCATCTGTGTACCCATTAAACCCCCAGCCCTAGAAGACGCTTAGATAAAACTTAATCCAAAGAAAAGGATTAAAGGTGATTTCTGCTGTAGGAGGAAGAAGTTATGCCAACAGAATGCCTCTGTCCAGAGTTACATATGCCTAGGAGGACAAGGGGATATCAGAGCACAGCTTCACTCATTCTCAGTTCACATTATCCAAATGCAGACTTGCCTCCCACTCACCATCTTCCAGGTGATGTGTGGAGTGTTCCTTGATCCATGTTTCCCAGGGTCACTGTCGTTTCTGAGCAGGGAAAGCATATTCTGGCGGGGGGCCGGGTGGCGGTGCAGGGGTAATGAAGCCGAGCTGGGCAGAGATGGGGAAGGTTTATTCTAGGTGTCCTGTGCAGTCACTGCCTTTTTACAAAGCCTAGGGAGGGTCACAGGGGTGCTTGCAGCCTGTGACAGTGTGCCCGCATTGAAAGGGACTTCGAGTCTACTGAAGGCACCTGTGGTTGAGTCTGCTTTAGAAAATGATAGCTCAGAATTGATTACCTTGTCTGTTTTTCCTTCATTTTGTCTGTTTATTCTATGTATGTTGAAATACTCCCATTTCTTTTTGGAGAAAGCAGTAGTATAGCTGGAGACTCCATGGAACCGAATCTGGAAAGTTCCTTCAGAGATCAATTAAGACTTCTTGTTCCCACAGAGACTTTGGAGGTTCCCAGCCTAAACCATGCTAAGAGTCCCATTAATGGTAGCTTTCCAAAGCCACAAGAGACTAAATTTGCTGGTGCTTTGGAACCTGACTGATTTTTTTTCTCTGTTGTTCTCTTTATTTCTCATGTTCCTAGTGATTTGGATTGGGCAGTGTTTGAGCCAGATCTCCTGGTTACCAGCTCTGTGGACACCTATATTTACATCTGGGATATCAAGTAAGAACAACAGAAATATAATCACTTTGCTGTGGAACACTTTGGGACCTTTGTTTTAGAGTTCAGGAACCTTCCTGTAGTTTTCCCAAGAAGCAGACCCTGAGACAAAGATTTGAGCAAATGCATTGTTTAGGAGGTAAAAGAAATGCTGAAAGGGGAATAGAGGAGAGACAGGGTTGAGAAGGCTGCAAATAAAGCCTGTTAGATCAGCTGGGTACCCCCCTGAACAGCTAGCACATCATTGTACCAGGGGAAACACTAGGCGCTAGAACCCTTCTCCGAGGTGTTCCATATAAAGGCTGAGGAAATTTGGGTATGATAATATTCCCAGTCATTGGTTTAAGCAGTTCCCCAGGGGTATCAGTTCCCTGTCACTTCAGGTCTGTCACAGAGGTTTATAAAGCTGGTTTCAGCAGCCAGAGAAGTCCCTTCAGTGAGCAATGCAGGTGCTGGCATTTGGCAATTGGACTGATGTTTACTGAAGTGGGGGATTTGGATGGGGCAGAGACACATCTGCTCCAGCAAACAGTGCAAAGACAGCTGCTCAACTCTTGTCTTGCTCTTGCCAGGCGTCTCTTCCCCACCTATACAAGGGCAACGGGCTGCCTCAGAGGTTCCTCTTCACAGTCACCTAGCCAGGCATTTATAAGACTGTCATAAGCTCTTTGCTGTGTAGAGCGAAGTTCCCTTTGTCCTAATAAAGGTGACTGTTCTGAGGCTGTGTGGTGCTGTGGACTAATGCGCCAGACTGCAAGGTCGGTGGTTCAAGCTCACCAGCTGCTCTTCGGAAACCCTATACAGGGTCGCTATGGGGCAGAACCGACTTGATGGCACTTCACAACAACAACAACAACTCTGAGGCTGTAATCTGTTCAGTCCCCAGACCAGACACCCTCTGCGCTCACCAGGCCCCTTCCAAGTGGCAGCGGCTTTGTGATGCTTGACATTGAGAGGTGGGATTGCAGGCAGAGGACAAGCCAGGATGGGAGGCACCAAGCCCAGCTAGCCCAGCCAAGAGGAGCTTTGCTAACTCAGCATCATGTCCCCATTAACTTGAGGGGAAGATCAAAACTTCCAGGGGAAATGGGAGAGGGAAACACTTAAACAAACACATGAGGCAAGATTAGAGAGTGTCCTTCCCTTGCATGAATATATTATTTCCCCAGTTTAAAATTGGAAAGGCTTCACTTTGAACAGAAAGCTGAAACCTTAGGTTTGCCTTGTCTGGCCACACAGCCCAAGGGTGCCACCCAGTTTTGTCATTGTACCACGTGGGCTAAAGTCATTTCTCCCAACTTGTAATACACCAGGGAGTCATTGAAACCCACTCTCGGTGTGCTGTTGGGAAACTTGTTCAGAGTCCCCTTTCCATGACTGCCACCTTGTTGCCAGTAGGAGATATGTGACCAGGATTCCTTTGCCCCTGGTCCCCTTACATCCGAGTCCCCTAGTTGTATGTAATTTATTTCCTATGGATCAACTCTATGGCTCTAAATTCAGACTTGGTAACAGTTGGAGTTGGCAGAAGATGCTCATCTACTTGGCAGCGGGCCTCTTTTTACCCTTCTCTCTATAGCCCTAAGTTCCCACTGGCAGGACGGTGAAGAAAGCTGTGCAAAGCAGATACTGGATTTCTGACCTTTCTGTTTCAGAGACACCAGGAAGCCTACTGTTGCACTGTCTGCCGTAGGTGAGTGTGCTCTCCCCCAGCTGGACTCCTCCCACCTTTGCTTGCTGGAAAAATGAGAAGCTGCATGTTGCCAGGGTCTTGCTTCAGGCTGTTCACAGAGGTCAGAGTTCACAGCGGTCAGAGCCGGGCAGTTAAGTGTGGGGCAGGAATCTATTTCCTAATTCAAGCAGAGAAGTTGAGGAGTTGGTTGGTTTGTAAATATCTTATGACAAAATTTAAATGTTTGTGAAAATAGAAGAAAATGGACCGTAGTCATCTTCATCCAGCTTCAACTGTTGTCAGTATTCAGCCCGTGTTAGTTCATTGTTGCCTCTCCCCACGGCCCCAGCCCTCCCGTCCAGCTCTCGTGGGATGATTTTTAAGCAAATCCCAGACACCACATCATCTTAAAAAGTATTTCCGAATGCATTTTTTATGAGTTAAGAACCCTTCAAAAATAACCTCAGTACCTTGAAAATACCTACAAATATGAACAATAGTTTCTCAGTGTCATCAGATATCAGAGCATTTGTTCACATTTCCCTAAGAATTTCCTCATTTTTTAAAAGCAGTTTGAATCATGATTCCAATGAAGTCTATACCAAATTTTTTTTTTTAATATAGAAATTTATTCTCTCTCTCCTTTGGTCTGTTTCCCTCTCCTGTAGTTTATTAAAGAGCTCTCTTGTCTGTCTGTGATTTTCCCACATTGTGGGTTATACTTATCACACCTCCATGGTGTCATTTAATGTGGACAGACTAGTCTTTGAAAAATTACCTTCTGATCTACCTGTTTGCGTTGCTTAGCTGTGGAATTCTGAATTGTGACTGTTACAAACTGTTCCCACCACTTCCTGAGAACAGAACTTGGATATTGAATTGGTCTAACTCAAGACAGCAAAGCCCAGTGTATTTTGATATCTGGATGAAAGTATATTTATCTGTGTCTCAAATGCTGTTTCTTTGTGCCTCCATAGTTTTTGTGCATACACATTTGGTGTTTGCTCCAAAACGATTGCACAGTTCTCCTTTTGCCTCTACACCTCATTAGTTAGAGGCTGCATTATGCAGCTGGAGCGTCTGTTCCGATGTCAGGCTGAGGGCCGTGTCATTTGTGTCTGACAGAGGAGGCGCTTGCTCAGTATGGGAGCCCAGAACCTGTACGCCTGTGCTGCTGGCTCAAGGATTCAGTTGGTCTGGTCCCTCTGTTTCTGGTGCTTGTGATCTGAGACACAGAGTGACATGGTGGCAGAATGTACAACAGAAAAAAATTAAAACAGTCTGTGAAATGCTGAAGTAATGTCCCCCTGACTTTGTTACTTATACAAGTTTCAAAGCTAGATTGGTTCTAGAGGAACCCTAAAAAGAAAGATACCTCTTTGATCACCTGCTTGTTCTAAAGACTCTCTTATTTGATTATTGTTGTCCGTAAGTGCCTTCAAGTTGCTTCGGACTCATAGCAACCCTGTGTAGAGTTTTTGAGGAGCAGCTGGTGAGTTTGAACCAACCACCAACCTTGCGGTTCAAACTGACCTTATAAAACCTCCCTAATCAAACCCACTGCTATTGAGTTGATTCTGACTCATAGTAACCTTATAAAGACAGCATAGACCTGGCCCATAGTGTACCCAAGGTTGTAAATCTGTGTGGAAGTGCACCGCCTCTTCTTTCTCCTGAAGAGTAGCTGCTGGGTTTGACCTGTGGGCTGGAGCTGCAACTCGGGCAGTTGTTGTGGTGGTGGTTAAGTGCCATCGAGTCGGTTCTGACCCATAGTGACCCTGTATAAGGTTTCCAGGGAGCGGCTAGTGAGCTTGAACCGCTGACCCTGGGGTTCAAACCAACTTTGCAGTCTAGCATATTAACCTACAGTGCCTCACCAGCCCAATATTTAACCCAGTACACCACCGAGATCTTTTATTCTCTTATACTTGTTGCTAGGTTCTGTCAAGGTGGTTCCAACTCATAGCGACCCAGTATAGTGTTTCTGAGGTTATAAATCTGTACAGGAGCAGAATGCCTCATCTTTCTCCTTCAGAGAGGCTGGTGGGCTTGAACTGCTGACTTTATGGTTAGCAGTCCAGTGCTTATCCTACAGGACCACCAGTGCTCCTTTATTCTGTTGTAAGTCCTTCTTGAAAATAGACATACGAGATTCTTTCCGTTCCGTCACCTCCGTGTGAGGTTCCCTGGTGGTAGCAGAGCTACCTTATTGGTGAGAGAAAAGAAGCAAATGAAAGGCTTGGACTATATTAGTAACTAACCATAGAGTAAGGACAGCAATCCAGTAACAATAGTGATGAGCTGCTGAGTCTGACCTACACTGGGTACTGCCTAGTCCCAGGATCTGTAGTCCCCACCTACCACTGAGCACTGTGTTTGCCTTTGGGGTCAGGAGCCAGTCACAGCACCTCTGCACATGCTCCCTTAATGTTCTCTGGGTTTGAGAACTCAGTCTGGTGTGCCTTGTGACCTGCTGTCTGTCACAGATCTAGTAAATCACTGTTGAATCGCCAAGCTCTTGGAATCCTTGAGGAATCTTCATGTTTCTCGTGGAAACTTGAAGAAACTTTGTTCTTTGGAAATCTTCAAGTAACTGTCAGGAGGAGGTTGAGTAAAGTCTTCTCACTCTCTCCTTGAGCATCTGTTTGGCAAAGGAATGGCATCTCTGTAGTAATACACTAACTTGCTTCACCTACAGTGGTCCCCACTATTTGTTCGTGGGTAGCTTAGAAGGTCCTATGCCTCAAGTTTGGACTGTTGGTGTGGCGTTGTAGCATAAGAGCAGTGTATTGCTAACCTCAAGGTTGGCGCTTCAAACCCACCCACCAGCTGCTCCTCAGAAACCTTATACAGGGTTGCTATTAGTTGGAACCAATTTGACAGCAGTTAACAACAACAGGCCTCAAGTCTGAAACAAAACAAAACAAAGTAAAGCAGACAAACAAAAGATAGCTGTCCCAAAACCAACACAATATATTCTAAGCAAGTTCTGGACCTTAGCTTTCTATTTTCCTGAGTTTCTGGTCCCAGAGGCAGGCTGCTTGGATTGGGTTGCTCTCTAAAGTAACTGCTGTGGCTTTCCTGTGTAATAAATAGCAAAACACAAAAAGGGAGAGGTGCCAAAGTGCTGATACATGGACAGAATGAGACAGGAAGGTGAGCCATCGGTTTGTTTTTTTTTTTTTTTTTCACCATTGTGACCCTGGCTTCTACACATCTTAGCCCTTTCTGACATCTTTCTTTGTACCGTCTCTCTGACATAGCTTTTTTGTAGTTATTGTTAGCTATGTCCTTGGATTGGCAGAGTGGGAAAAGGCCCAAGTTCACATAGTGCCCAGGGTGTCCCCTTTCTCTCATGGGGAGATGAGAACCCAGGAGGGGTGCCCATGCCCTTCTGGGGACAGATTTTGGTTAGCTCTGGGGTTTACTCAGCCTCACCTCAACTAAATGAGGTGTTTTTCAAAGACTGTCCCTCAAAAAAGTAAACAAAAAGCAAGCAAGCTTTAGAGCTGCGGCTCTTGACTAGGAGCATAAGGTTGGTGTCAGAGGAGATGATGAGGCGTCAACTTGTGCCGTGCTGAGCCATAAGTCCCTGCTGGGAGGTGCCTGTGGATGGTGCCCTAACTTGAGGATCTGTTAGGTGTAATCCGTTTACCTTGTGGCTTCATCTTACCCTACTTGTAGAGGTGGTTCATTCGTGGAAAGTTGAAGGATTCTCTGCTTGTTCCACCAGAGCTCCTTACCCACCAACCCTGGATGTGTATGTGTGTCTGCCTCTGGAAGCTTTGAGGACCCACCTTTTCCCCCTTGGTTTCTCTTTGCAGCGGGTGCCTCGCAAGTCAAATGGAATAAAAAAAATGCTAACTGCCTTGCCACCAGTCATGATGGGGATGTGCGGATATGGGACAAACGAGTGAGTGATCCTCCCCCACCCCCACCCCCGCCTGCGCCTGCCTCTTCCATCCCTGCTTGGTCTCTGGTCCCTGCCAGAGAGCCTGAAGAGGGTGTTGTGAGTACCAGGACTGGGTTCCCTGGACACCGCAGTGAGTGACCACTTTGAACTTATAGTCTCAGATGACATCTCCTTTCCAGTCACCATGGTGTTGAACAGAAAGAGGGAAATGAGGCAGTGAGCTTGGTGTAATTGAAGTCTGAGCCCGGTGCCTCCTAATTGTGACATCAGATGAGCCACTGCACCTTCTCTAAGCCTCAGTTTCCTCATCTTCAAAATTAAGATAGAAGTAGCAGTAGTATCATTGGATCAAGCCTTGGGGACCAGACACTATTCTAGAGGGGTCAGCAAGCTTCTGATCCCTGTTCCAGAAGGCAGTGTGGAAACTTGTTCAGGCTCATATGCCATCCAAACGCTTCTGAGCTCATTCTCATTGTGCCCACCACTCCATCAGGACCAGACGTCCTGCCAGCCTCAGAGTAGCCTGAAGATCACGCATATTTTCTGCATCTTCACATATGTTCTTGGCAACTGCCCACTTAACGGAGCAGCATGAAAGGGGCTGGGTCTCAGGCGGCAGCTGTAGGGGAAAGTCTGCTGGAAGCGTGATTTGCTGCCATTGTGAGAAAAGGGCCACCCCTCTGACCACAGTCAAAGGCAGAAAGATCTGGGCTCTAAAACTTGAGGCGAGAGGTCCTCAGCCATTTCCTGAAGCTTGTTTGGAGACGCACCCAAGAAGTCTCAGCATCGCTCCCTTCCCCTTCTATAAGACAACATTGTCAAACCCTTACAGAAGGGAGAGGCAAGCCAAGCTGAGGGTGGGCCTGGCATGGCCTTATCCTGCTGGATTCGGTGTGTGTGAGGGACCTCCGGGGAGCTGGGTGCTGGCTGAAGCCCTTTGCTGAAGGTAGTGCTTTGGTGAGAGGTGATTTTATATGTAGAAGTTGGGACAAGTGCATTTCTATATGTTAGTTATTTTCTTCTGTCTGCTGTAGTTTAGTTTAGCTATAGCTGCTTCTCCTCTTTCCACCTTCTGTTTGTTCAGTTGTCACCAGAATAACACTTACATACAATACTGACTTAAGTAAATGATTTGATTGATTTGTAGTACTTGAATATTTATACCCTAGTTGCATACATGGTTATGTATATTTTTAATTTAACATTACAACAGATACATTTTTCCCATTTAGGTTGTTTTCTGGTTTCCTAACGTTCAAAATAACACCAAGATGATAGCTTTCTTATATAAAATTTTTTGTAAATTTGGATTATTCCCTTAAGGAAAGAAAATTTTAGTCTCTGGGTAAATAGTACTAATTTTTTCCCAGAAGAGTTGTGTACTGTTTTACATGGCGGAGTGTCAAAAAGTTCATGGGAAGATTCCATTATCTTTTAATTCAATTTTCCCACGAACTTTTTGATAACCCTTTCTTATTTATATAAACCAGCAGGGACTAATTAATGCAGCCTAATGGATAATGAGTATTACTTGCAAATATCTTCTAATTTGATCATTTTAGAAAACATTGTTTGAACATGTATTCCTGTGGTTTAATTTGAAGTTTACTCATCTTATATGTATTTATTGATGACTTGCATTGTTTTCTTTTGTGATTTGTGTGCTTGGTGTGTTTCCTGGGGTGCAGAGCGCTTACTACTTGGGGATCCTTCACTGAGGCTAGAGCTCCTTTCAGCGCCTCAGAAGTTACATAGGATGTGTGAAGGAGAGATGAATAACCCTTCTGTTGTTTTGTGTTTGTGTTATACAAAACCAACCAGTAGTTGGCTCCCTTTCCCTCCCATTGTGGTGAGCGCAGCTGCCTTTTGACCTGCTTTGTCTGCTCATTAGGCGTTCAGAAAACAAAAGCAGATTCACACCATTTCCCAATGGATTTGAAGGAAAACTGGTAATGAAGTCAGAGACAATTTTCTAAGAGGAGACACTGGAACAGGAAAAACTGAGCTGGGTCCATAGGGAGTCTCCTGCTTGTTGGCCCCTGTATTTACCTAGGGTCACTAGCATTCTACCAGATCACATTCATATCACCTACATTCTACCATATCGTTTAATATTTCGCCACAATCTGATCAGTTGAGTATGTATTAGGAAACTTCTAGTTCCTACCTTTATGCATCTTCTTTAAGAGATTGACTGACTAAATTTGTGAGACCTTTGGTTTGGGGGAAAAGAACATCAAGGAGTTTCTGAAATGTAGAGACTGCATCTGGTCGTATTTCCGTCGCGCCTCGGTGACATCATACTGACGATGCTCGGTGATATCACACTGACGGCTCGGTGACATCATACTGACGCCTCGGTGACATCATACTGACAATGCTCGGTGTTGGTCTGTTGCAGAAACCCAGCACAGCAGTGGAGTACCTCGCAGCCCATCTCTCTAAAATCCACGGCCTAGACTGGCACCCAGACAGTGAGCACATTCTTGCTACCTCCAGCCAGGACAACTCTGTCAAGGTAAGTGGCACCTGCTGGGGCAGTGAGAGGAAAGGTCTAGTACGTTAGCGCAGTGTGTGTGTTTCAGGGAGCTGGGCAAGTCAGTCTGGCATGTGGACCAGCCAGGGTGATGTAGCATGTATCTGATAAAACTCCTAGAATTTGTTCTGGCTTTCTGCATTCCTTTCGTGAAAGGAAGGAAGACAAAAACATTTATGAAGGAAAAGAAGTTTTGCAAGGAAGTTGGACTTCCCAATGGCTCATCGTATGAAAAAACAACAGATAATTAAAGGACAAAACCCACCAAGTTGTCAAGGTTGCTGAGTTTACAGTTACTCTGCATGGTGGAAAGGCAATTTTGTCACATAATTATCTTGTCTGAGAAAGCTGCCATATCTTCAGACACCGGAGCATTGCAGAAATCAGGTGTTGCCTTAGGGATTCTCTAACTTACAGGAAATGCTCAAGGTTTTATGTGTTTTGGCACCCCTACTGTTTTTGGTTTGTCTTTTTGCTTGTTTTCCTTCTGCCTGTGGGATGTGGTATGCACCCTTGTTCAAATGGTGGCTTCTGCTGCCGGAGTCCCTCCTTGTGGTCAGTGCTTTGCCACTAAGAACAAAAATTTAACCACAGAAGTTTGTTTAGCAATTTTGTGATTCAGCGTTGTTAACTTAATGCTTTGTTTTATTTACATAGTCAAGTAAGCTGTCTTCTTTGTAAGTTTAGCAAAGTTACAATCGAGATTGGCAAATTCCCTAGGGCTGTAATTTGTTTTCATGTGCCAGAAGTGGTTTTCTCTATGTTCGCTTGTTTGTATTGGATTTTGGTTTTTGGTTCTCCTTTTTGCCCCATTCCCACGAAAACTCCAGTCAGTTTGTATTCCATGTTCAGGAGCAGAAACCATCCAGTTCACTCCTGTTTCTTTCTTTGAGCTCCCCAAGCTTGTCTGTATTCAGTAACAGCTTTACTAACTGCAAGGCTTGTATTCTGTGGGTCATAAAGAGGTTGTTGTTGTTAAGTGCCATCAAGTCGGTTCAGACTAATAACGGCCCTGTATAGAATTTCCAAGGTGCTCTGGTAGCGTAGTGGTTATGAATCGGCCTGCTAACCTCAAGGTCGGCAGTTCGAAACTACTAGATTTTCTGTGGGAGAAAGATGAGGCTTTCCGCTCCCATAAAGATTTGCAGCCTCGGAAACCCTGTGCAGGGTCACTATGAGTCGGAACCGACTCCACGGTACTTAACAACAACAACAACATAGAATTTCCAGAGAATGGCTAGTGGGTTTCAACTGCTGACTTTGAGGTTAGCAGTCTAGTGCTTATTCTACAGTGTCATACCAGGACTCCATAAAAGATGTAGCAGGCCATTTTACTTGGAGCCACGGAAGGTATAGTTCCCACATGTGAGGCACTGTCCTTATCATACAAAGCATGTGTAGCCCTCTCTCAAGACTGCCATCAGTGATTGCTTTCAGAGTTATTGTTTGCTTCCTTCTAGCTGATTCTGACTCATTGGCAACACTGTATATGCCCTAGTAGGTTTAGCTAGAATTCTCCTTACGAGGGAGGCTGGTGAGACCTCATCTCACATACTGTAGACTTATTATCAGGAGAGACCGATCCTTAGAAGGATTTCGTGCTTGGTAAAGAGGGTCAGGAATACCTTTAGTGAGATGGATTGTAGTGACCGCACCAGTGGACTCCAGCACGGCAGTGGTTATGAGGTTGGAGAAGACTCTGGCAGTGTCTTGTTCTGTTGTATTTAGGGTTGCTATAAGTCCGAACTGACTCAGTGGCACCTAACAACAATTAGTAGGTTTAGCGTACTAACTAAATGAGATTTTTGTCATAACTACTGCTGCACAACTTATTTTACTCTATCTTAATTTGACGTATATAAATAATTTAATATGATCATAAAAGTGAAGCAACTTCGTAAAGGCACGTTGTATGAGATCCAGCCATTGATTTTAGTAAATTATAGATAAAGGTAATATGTCATTTTATTGTATGAACTATTATTCAAAATTTTGTACCAACCACTTAAACCAGTGATTATGAAATCGAAGAATTCTACCATCTTCTTCAGTCTGAAATTGAACAAACATGCAATTAATATGTATTGACAATTACTGGCAATTAGAATGCAAAGGTTGGAAACAAAGAGGAAGAAATGAGTAGCTAAAAAATATGGCCTTACTGATAGAAATGGTGCTGGAGATCACAGGATAAAATTTTTTTGTAAGATCAATGATTTCTCACTGCAAATACCTTTTTTTAAACAACATAAAAGATGAGTACACTCATGGACCTCAGCAGATGAGAGGTACAGAAATCAAATTGACTACATCTGTGGAAAGAGACAGATTCTATCATGAGCCAAAACAAGGTCAGGCACAGACTAGAGCAGACCATCAATTGCTCATATGCAAGTTTAGGATGAAGCTGAAGAAAATTAAAACAAGTCCAGGAGAGCCAAACTATGACCTTGAGCATATCCCACCTGAATTTAGAGATCATCTGAAGGACAAACTTTAAGCATTAGGCACTGAAGACCGAAGAGCAGAAGAGTTGTGGGATGACATCAAGAACATCACACAGGCAGAAAGCAAAAGGTTATTAAGAAGACAAGAAAGAAATGACCAAAATGGATGTTAGAAGAGACTTGGAAAGTTGTTCACCAGCGTAGAGATGCTAAACCAAATGGAAGAAATGAGGAAGTACAAGAGTTGAACAGAAAAAATTAAAGGACATCTCAAGAAGACCAAGTAAAATATTATAATGAAATGTGCAAAGACATGGAGTTAGAAAACCAAATGGGAAGAACACACTCAGTATTCCTCAAACTAAGGGAACGGAAGAAAAAAATACATATTGAAGGATAAAATATTGAATGATGCAGAATACATCAAAAGAAGATGGAAGAAACATACACACAGTCAGTCACTCTACCAAAAGGAAATAGTCAATGTTTAACTATTTCAAGAGGTAACATGTGATCAAGAGCCAGTGATACTGAAGGAAAACATCCAAGGTTCACTGAAGGCATTGGCAAAGAACAAGGTTCTAGAAATTGATGAAATATAAATTGACATCTTCCAATAAATTGAGGTGTCACTGGAGGCAACCTCTCATCTATATCAAGAAATTTGGAAGACAGTTACCTAGACAACTGATTGGAAGAGATCCGTACTTGTGTCCATTCCAAAGAGAGGTGACCCAACAGAATATGGAAATCATCCAACAATATCATTGATTTCACATTCAAGTAAAATTTTGTTAAAGATAATTTAGAAATGGTTGCAGCAGTACATTGACAGGGAGCTGCCGGAGATTCAGGCTGGATTCGGACAGGAATGTGGAACGAGGGATATCATTGCTGACGGGGATCTTGGCTGGAAGCAGGGAATACCAGGAAGATGTTTACTTGTGCAGCTGGAAGCAGGGAATACCAGAAAGATGTTGTTTACTTGTGCTTTATTGACTATGCAAAGGTTTTTGATTGTGTGGATCATGACAAGCTATGGACAATGTTGTGGAGAATGAGTATTCTGGAACACTTAATTGTGCTCATGAGGAACCTGTATATAGATCAAGTGGCATTAATTGACCAGAACAAGGGGGCAGTGAATTGTTTGAAATTGGGAAAGGTATATGCCATGGTTGTGTTCTTTCATCATACTTATGCTGAGCAAATAATCCAACAAGCTGGATTATGTGAAGAAGAACATGACATCAGGATTCGAGAGACTCATTATCCATTATCCACCTGAGATATGCAGATGGTACAACCTTGCTTGCTGAAAGCAAAGAGGGCTTAAAATACTTATGAAGATCCAAGACCACAGCAGTTGGTATGGGTTGTACCTTAATATAAAGAAAATAAAAATCCTTACAACTAGACCAATAAATAGCATCCATATAAATAGAGAAAAGATTGAAGTTGTCAAAGATTTCATTTTGCTGGGATCAATCATCAACATTTATGGAAGCAGCAGACAAGAAATTAAACTACATTATTACATTAGGCAAATCTGCTGCACAAGGCGTCTTTAAAGTGTTCACGAGCAAAGATGTCAGTTTGAGGACTAAGGTGCACCTAACCCAAGCTACAGTATTTTCATTAAGCTCATATGCATATGAAAGTTGTAAAATGAATAAGGAAGATTGTAGAAGATTTGATGTATTTGAGTTATGATTTTGGAGGAGAATATTAACCAAGGATTGCCAGAACAACAAATAAATCTTTGTTGCAGGAAGTAGACCAGAAGCCAAGATGGCCAGACTTCGTCTCTCAAACTTTTGATATATTGTTAGGAGGGCCCAGTCCCTGAAGAAGGAAATCATGTTTGGAAAATTGGAAGGTCAGCGGAAAAGAGGAAGACTCCCAGCAATGTGGATTGTCACAGTAGCAGCAACAATGGGCTCAAGTGGAAGGTAGTGAGATTAACGCAGGACGGGGCAGTGTTTCTATCTGTTTTCTTTATGAATCGGTACCGACTCGACAGCACCTAACAAGAAAAACAGACCTGTTGGATTGAGGGTTAGAGATGGATCGAGAAAAAAGAAAAGGAGTTTCTTATATAAGCTTTAAAAATACAATACGTATTTTAAGGAGCTCTGGTAGCGTAGTGGTAACGAATCGGACTGCGAACCTTAAGGTCAGCGGTTTGAAACTACCAGCTGCTCTGCAGGAGAAAGATGAGGCTTTCTACTCCTGTAAAGATTTACACCCTCGGAAACCCTGTACAGGGTCGCTATGGGTCGGAGCTGACTTGACGGCACATAACAACAACAACAACCACAAATTAGTTTGTATCACTTTAGGTAATTTGTTCTTCTTCATGATCTTGAACTAAGCAGTGTATTCCTCAAAATTGTCTTCTAGACTAACAGATGGAGTACTGGCATGGTGCTGTAGGATAAGCCCTGGATTGCTAACCGAAAGGTCAAAGATTCAAACCCACCAGCCTCTCTAGGGGACTTTGTACAGTGTCACTATGAGTTGGATCCAACTTGA